ACCTCGACACATGGCTGGAGGACTGGAACAAGGCAGCATCCATCCCCCCACACACACTGTGCTGTGTCACTGGATGGGGTGCCATGTCCCCACATCCCACCCCATGGTGTCAGACCCCCTGGTGTCATCCTACAGTGCTGGTTACCCTCATGCCGTCCCACAGCACCAGGTCCCCTGGGGCCACCACACTCCCTGCAGTGCCAGGTACCCCATTTCTCCTCCCTTGCCTGCAGGTACAACCTACCACAGCACTCTTGGGGTCATCCCGAGTGGCACAATGCCCAGTCTGGGGAACCCTCCAAGTGGCAGGGGGGACTGAATGAGAATCCACCATGGGCAGACTGCATGGAAAATGCCGCTGGAGTGGGTGAGGGAATAAGGAGTTCCCAGCTCGAAGGAGTCTGTGGGAGAATCCCAGCTGGTGGCATGGGGGTGCACAAAGATGCACCCTCCAACAAGGGGGTCTCTGTGGGAAGTCCTAATACACAGTTGGGTCTCCACAGCAGGGACACTAGAGAGGGTGTGATGGGGGAGTGCAAGAGGAACCTTAGCACATAACCAGTACGTAGAACTCCAAATTGGATAGGCAAGGAGCAGGACCCCTAGGAGGAACCTCAGCTGTGGGGGAGGACAAGGGGCTCTCTATGGATACYTGGTGGGGGGCTGGAGGTGCACAGCACAGGGGGTGGGCGGTACAGGGGAGGGCAGTACAGAGGAGACTGCAGGGCCCCCCTGGCTGCCCAGTCCCACTGCTGGCGGCTGCTATTTTGGTGAGCAGCGACGGGGGGGGCAGAGAACACCGGGCTTGGGCACAAAGAGCCTTTATGCGGGAGCACCGGGACTCCCCTGTCAGCTCTGACGCGCAGCCAGCACCCTGCCACGGCCCTGCCAGCACAGCGGGCACCCCCATGTCCCCACTGCCCCATGGCACAGAGGGGCACCTATCACCCTACTCCACCAAGAGCAGTGTGTGGGCACTCTGGCGAGGGGGACGCCACACACCCACTGGCACCACCCTGGCACTGGTGCCCCCATGAACTAGCAGCTAGTGCAGATGGAGGCTTCAAGCCCCTGTGCTCCTATGGGACACCACACCAGGACCATCCCCATTGGCACTGCTCACCAACTGGCAATGCCAGCACACCCTGCTGTGCTACCAGCGTGTGCCAGCCCTGTGGGTTCCAGGGATGCCCCAATATCACAGTGAGGCCACAAGTGTGACACCCTGGCATGCCATGGTGAAATGCCCCAGTGTGCCATGGCAAGGCCACCGCAAGCTATCCTGGAGTGCCACATCCAGCCTGGCGAGGCCATGGCACACCAGCGGGAGGGTTAAAGGAAGCCGACATTGCYGGGATCCTGCTGCAGTTGCCTTTCCTCCTCCTGACCCTGYAGCTATTTTTAGGGCCCAGYAATAGCTGGGGCCAATGGTCCYACAGCCCTGTCCACCCACTCGCTGRMAATGGGGATGCCTGGCGAGATCACACCACCAGGGACTCCCACTGGTCCTTGCTGGAGTGAAGTCCCCCAACTTGGCATCTCCATGACAGGCTTTGCCACGCTGCTTGGTCCCATCCCACAGCTCATCCATGTGGCACCCACAGCCTCCTCGCCAGGCAGCGAGAGATGTGACAGACACCCCTCACCCAGGCACCTGMATCACGATGCTGTCTGCAGCCCCCTGTCACCCATGCTGATACAACAATGTCCCTCAGCCCTGTGGCACCATSAGGTGCCAGAATARTGTTCTCTCCCAGTGCCATGCCCCRGTGCTGCTTGCCAGCCCAGCTTTCCAGTGGGGAGCCGGAGCCCAGAGCCACGCTGTGCTCACATGGCTGGTAAACAGCATTTGCCACTGTCCACGGGGAAGGAGAACCATGCCACCATGAAGGCTGCATGCCTGGCACCTGCATGTGGCACCAGCACACAGCAGCCCCAGGCCAGGGCAGGTCAACTCAGAGTGAACTCCCAGTTCTCCCACAGGCTCTCAGGGCAGAAAAAAACTTTGAGTTGAGGTGCCCTCACCACCACTCCATAACCACATCAAGGTCCAGGTGCTGGCACAGGTAGCCAGCCTCGAGCAGAGCCAGTGGCATGCCCCGGGAACTCCCTGGGAACGCAACAGCACATGGAACATCACCAGCATACCAAGGTGCCAGAGGCCCCAGGTATGGTGGGGTGCTGTGGTGCACCACCAGGCAAAGGCATTTCAGGACCCCCGGGGCTATCAGCACTCACCCATGACSTGGCACAAGCTGGGAGCCATGGAGTCCCATGGCACGACTCAAGGGCACAGAGCCATCCAGCCCCTCCAGGCTGGGGACTCCCAGACACGAGGTCAGGAGCTGGGGACCCTGAGTGCCATGGGTAGGCTAAGGGACCTCAAAGGTGTGGGGTAGGGGTCAGACCCCCATCTCACAGACCCCTGTGGYAGCAAGGATGACTTTCACAGATGCCTGGCACCAACCCAGTATCTCCCCAGTGCTGAGGTATCCCCAGCCCCTCCAMGTCACCCCATCTGCTGGTGTCTGGTCCCCTGGGACTCACAGGCCAGAGTAGATGCCATTCTCCTGGTGCCCTGTGTCCCAGAAGTGCCAGTGCCCCTCCGAATCCCGAGRTCTCCTCGTGTCTGTGCCCCCTCAGCATCCACGGACCACAGCTGTTCCAGTCCCCCTGTGCCCAGTTCCCCAAATTCCTAGCAATCCCCACAGTACCGGTGACCCCCATGTCCACTATGTCCCCCCAGGCGGGTCTCCCCCTATGCCTGCTGCCCTCTTCACGTTGGTGTCCCCCCTCAGTGCTTCCTGAATGCTCCCCTGGATCCCTTCCAATGATTCCCACTGCTCCCCCKGCCACCGCTCCCTCGGTGCACCGCCCCCCCCCGTCTTCGGTGCCTCTTCCACTGTTCTTCTTGGCCCCCCGCCAGCGCTTCCCTGGACACCCGCCCTGTGTACCCCAGTGCTCTCCCGAATCCCCGCAGTGACACCCCCTCCACGACGACCCAGTGTTGCCCTTGGTACCTCGCTAGTGCTCCTCCAAATCCTCCCCGCTGTTCGCCCAGGACCCAGCCCCGGCTCCCCTCCCGACCCCCTGCTCTCCTCGGACCACCCCCGAGGCCTCTCCGGTGCCCCGCTGAACACTCCACTCCTACGCCCGGATCTCCCCCGGTACCCCCGCCCCGTGCCTCTCCCGGGACTSTCCAAAGCTCCGGCGGTTCCTCCCGCTGCTGCTCCCCCAGGGTCGCCCTCAGCCCTCACCCCGACACTCTGCCCGTGCCTCCGCAGCTCCCACGGCCTCGCGCCGGTCCCCTCCCGGTGCCCCGCTTCAATCRCTCCCGGTGGCTGCTCCCGGATCTCCCCGTACGCCTCCCCGGTACCTCATGGGTGTCCCCCCGGCACCTCCCCGCCCGTACCCCACTCACAGCAGGCAAAGCGCGTAGGCCCCCGCCACGCTCTCGCTGTCCCGCACCAGGAAGCTGCCGTCCCGCCCGGCCCGCGCCAGCTGCTCCTCGGCCGCCGCCCGGCTCAGGTCCCGGTGGTACCAGAGGGGCAGCGGCACCGGGGCCGCCCCTCCTGCGCCCCCCGAGCCCCCCGCGCCCGCCATGCTCTGCCGCCGGGGCCGCGCCGCGGGGCCGCGCTCTGAGGGGGAGGGGGGACCCGCGGGG